TTTTTTTTTTTTTTTTTTGAAAATTCTTATTTTCCTTTTTTTTTATTTCTTCTACGTTCGTAGAGGTATATTTGTGTTTTTACTTTTTTATTTTGTTTTGTTTACTTTTTTTTTTTGCTTTGGTTCCCCTTCCTCTCCTTTTGTCTACCCTTTTAAGGAGGATATATTTTCTTTTTTTTTTTTTTCGTTCTATTTGTAATGGGTATTATACACTTACGTGTTTGTTTTTTCCTATTTGCCTTTTGTTGTTGTTGTTTATATTGTGTATATATATAAGAAACAAACAAACAAACAAACAAACAAACAGAGACTTACAGTTTTTATCTTCTCTTATTTCTCTAAATTGTAGAGATACACTATATACACATTTTCACATACAATAAGCAAGAGATGGAAGAAAAAAAGAGAAAAAATAAAAAAAAAAAAGAACAATCATATACGTACATAATTCATTTATATATATATATATATATATAATTAGTAAAAGAGATACATTGATGAGTAAATATAAAAAAAACAACAACAAGAACAAAGAAACAAATAAAAGAAAAGAAATCAATCCATTGTTACAATGGTGAATTTGTCCAGTGTTGATTGAAGTGATTGTATTTATTAACGTCACGGTTCCCCCACCCAACACTGTGCCCCCTTCTCTCATTATGTAGTATAGAGATATATCAAGAGAGAAAGCAAAACGACAAGTAACTGTAAAACCACGAAAAACAAAACAAAACAAAAAAAAAATAATAATAATGTGAATAAAGACTATTACAAAAAAAAAAAAAAACATAAAAAAAAAAATACCCCTTGTCATTACAATTCATTTATAATTATATATATATTTCCCAATCCTTGCACAGTAAAAACGAGGTTCATATGGACTCTCTTCTTTCATTTCTGCCTACAATACCCATCATCATCATTATCATAATAATAATATGTACTTTCACTCCTGTACTGCATTCCACATAAACACAAGGCCGCAGCCACAGAAACCACAACACCGAGAGCCAACAGTAAATACCGCAGTGTCTGTGCGGCCTGGGCATTAATATAACAATCCACAGCCCGCTGTTGACGGGTAATGTGTCGCTTGTGTTGATTAAATACCGCCAATAAACGTTGACGGGCAGAGAAGGCCTGTACACGTTCCAGAAAAGCCTCCTGTTGACAAACATCATGTGGAGCTGAAATAGGTTGCCATGATGATAATAAGAGAGAATGGGAGTTTTTATTCCGTACAGTTTGCCGTTTTCCTCTTTTAGGTTTTCGTTTCTTATATTTAATAAAAGATGGGGAATTCTTTCCCCAACGACTTTCATTTCCAACTGTTGAGAGAAGTGCTGTCATGGCAAGACTATGTGTACGTTCCGCCTCTAATAACATCGTGATATCATGATCCTTTTCACTCTCTTCATGCATTGTAAGAGTACTTTTTATTCCTGTTCCTATGGGTGAAAGGTGACTTCTCATGGCTGATAAAGGCGACAGTGTATAGTTATTATTATTAATATTATTATTATTATTATTATTATTATTATTATTATTATGATGAGATGCGGCGAAGGAAACAGAGAGATGCCGTCGATGTGAGGAACGACGAGGGCGGAATTGACCGGCGAGAACAGCCGCACGGAGAAGTGCCCAATGCCGTTTAGCACGGGAAACACTACACACACTGTGATGAGTAATCAACACTTCCGCTTTTGGGCTTTCCATGAAGATTAGCTCTGGTGCCGGTTCATTACTCCCACTCTTATTATTATTATTATTATTATTATTATTATTATTATTATCAAACTGTGAAAAGTAAAGAGCTGGAATGAATATCTGCTTCTCCATATATGCATGTCCATATTGTTCATACCAATACTCATTCTGAGATTGTTTTAAGCGTGATAAGAGCCTCTTTACATACGATAGACCCATCTGCAGAAAACCATATACCCATCTTCCTCTTCCTTCCTCTTTATTATTATTATTATTATTATTATTATTATTATTATTATTATTATTATTATTATTACAATAAACTCGTCTTCTCCATAATGTTAACAATGCCCCTATTAATACCGCCACGCAAGGCACAACAAAAAGGCATGAAGTGACAAAAGACCATAATGGATATGGAATTCCCACAACCCTCGTACTATGAACTTTATTCATATAAAGCGCAGATCCAAGTCCCATAGCTGCAAAGATAGCCAACATTACTTGAAGTGAAAGACTCACCACAAACTCTAACGGTTCCGCATATGGACGACAGAGAATCAAAACAATAAAAAACCCAATATGTAATAATAAACAGGCTACAAATCCCGTCCATGGACTTGCCAATCCACTTCCCTCACGCATTACAGTAGAGAAGATAACCATAGCAGTTTTCTGGGCTAACACAAGAAGTTTAAAATAGCGGAATCTATGTGTATAAGGGGCATAGAGAAACTGTGCCTCATTCTGCGATAAACGTACACGTTCATAATAAGATCCATATCGTTTCTTCTTTCTATTCTTCACATGTGATCGTATTGTATTTGAGGGAAATAAAGTATTCCTTGACATCCAATTGTGGGTAATAGTATGATCCAAAGTAGATGTTCCTCCCCTTCCACCCTGTTGTTGTTCTCGTTCTCTGTTATTTCTCCATAAAGATTGTGAGACTCTTGTTAATGGTGAAGAAGTGTATAATAATACCGATGATGCTGTTGTGGATGAGGATGTGTGGGAAAGAGGATAATATTTTAATGCGCGTAGTACTTGACGAGTGACAAGGGCGTAAAGAAGTACAAAAAAAAGAATATAAGCAATAAGACTAAGTATTGCAGAGGCTGAGATAAATCCATCTACGCTTTTACAAGAAGAATATGTATCCATAGAGGCATGAGAGAGTCTTGTATGATTATCCTGTACACCTTTAACTACACAGACAAACTCGGATCCATCACTCTTATAATTGTTGATACCACTATCATCATTATTATCCACATTACTATTATTATTACTACTATTATTATAATTATTAGTAATAGTAGTAGTGGCGAAACAGGAAAAAAGGCCAATGGCGTTTCTCAGAATTGGGGCGTACAAAAAAGATATTCCAAGAAATATGATGGAGAGAAATAAATGTCGTAACCACAACTTGGTAGCAAACAGTCGTTGACGTCCTTTACGTGTGAGACCCAATATAAAAGATACGGTGAAGAGAATTGCCAATAGAAACAACACAGCAGCAATAGGAAAAAAGAATGGACTACTTTGAATGGGCTCCAGTGCTTTGGATTCCTGTACTCGTGCGAATAGAAAAGCCGCCGCACAACACACAACCGCCATTATCACTTTCACTATTGTCCATACAACTGAAAAAGATGCCGTTTCCTTTTCTCTTGACCACAACATCCGTCTATAAGCCAATTCAGCCCTAGCCGACTGTTCTTCCATTTCATATTCACTGTTATTATTATTATTATTATTATTATTATTATTATTATTATTATTATTATTATTATTATTATTAAGATGATGTAAAGTCGTTTCTGTTGGGTTCACATCTGTCGTGTTTGTGTGTTGACGTAATAATTGAGCGGCCACTCGTTCTTCTACTGTTCGTGGGGCGTTTTCAAAATGCCGTAATTGTTCCATCACTTCTCTGCGATCCCGACTTCCCCAACGCAAACAAACCACAATACCCACAATAAGTAATAAGACTACACCAATGGATCCTATAATCATCATTATCATTGCAGTTTGGTTTGAAATATTCTGTAAAAGTTCTGTTAATTCCATAATATCATGCCAAGGATATAAAGAGGCATGTGTGTGTGTTAACCATAATAACAAGGATCCCGCCACCATTATAAATACAGCCGTGCAAAGAAGATATACAAAAATAATAAAAAGTAACGGTCCAAACATAAGAGCAGAAAACAAAACAAGCGCCAATGGAGCTAAAATATTTGTGAGCGCAAATATCTGCAGTACATTCAATGAAGTGCCTGTCTGTATATAGCTATTACTATTACTATTACTATTACTATTATTCTCTTCACTGTGGTTATTAGTGCGAGCTGTGTAAGTGATGGTCTGCATAATGATATCTATAATCCTGAATGGAGATGAGTACAGTGTGGGAAACACACTTGGGGCAATCGTTATTGTGAGATATAAATACTGCATGTAATTCAATAATAACTCCAATACATCGTAGATCATATTTGGGGTAAATTATTATTATTATTTTCTTCTTTTTTCTTTGTTTTTGTTGTTTCCAACTACCAAAGGGGAGGAAATAAAGAAAAAAAAAAGAAATAGGAATACTATATATACAGACTGCACATTAGAAGAAGAAATAATAATAATAATAATAATCATCATCATCATCGTTATTTAAATAAAGGCAATGGAAATAAAAAACAATATGAAGTAGCAACAATGATTTTTTTTCTCTTTTTTTTTTTTGAAATGAGGATAGTGTAGTATTTGATTTCAAAAAAAAAAAAAAAAAAAAAAAAAAAAAACAATTCACCACGGTAGTGATATTTGCCTTTCCAAGGAAATTGAATATAAAAAATGAGAGAAGAATACATACACACAGCATGCATATATATATATATATATATATAGATGTGTGTGTATTTTTAGTGTATGTACCTCCCCACTTCGGGCAATAGAAACAGTCTGTGAATCCCACACACATTTCCAACCCTGTGAAAAATTACATTGAAGTGCAAAAAGAAAGAAACGCTACAACAATAAAGATGAACTAGATTACATCATCACTGATCGCATCTCTTTCTGTCTATAAACAACTAGAAAACAAAAACACAGAAACATGAGAAAGTGACTAGAGGCAAAAACTCCAAAACAAAAAAAAAAGGTAATAAAATAATTTGTAGCAAGGTATATATATATATATAGTATATGAGTAGAAAAAAAAAAAAAAAAAAACACTCAGCAACCTCAACAGTCAAAGAGTGATCATAGAGGGGAGGGGAAAAAAGAAAAACATTACAAAAGGCAATAAGGATAAGAAAAAAAACCACATAAATTTATACGAATAAAAAAAAAGGGCGAGAATACTCATTTTGTTTACTCTCTCTATCAAAATTTTTTCTTTTCTCCTTTTTTTTTTCTTCTTCTTCCTTTATTGTGATTGGAATTGAATCATTGAAGAAAGCCTCCTTTTTCACTTTACTTCCTTCACTTGTATACAAAAAAAACATACAAACACAGAGAAATATATATATATATATATTACCACCTCTTTTTTTCTTCTTCTGTCAATGGACCGGTAGTCTCATTCACCACACACCCCGTTAACACCGCATCGCCATTTTCTGTTGATTCCAACGTGCAGCCTCTCTTAAAAGTCATACCGCAGAGATCTCGCACTGCGTAGCCACTCACAATCTCACTTAAATACGCATCCCGCCGCACACGCTCCTTCACACGGCCATTATCACAAAGCCAATCCTCCACATCTAATACATAATAAGGGAACTTAGGTTCAATATCTGTTTTGGAGATACAACAACAATGACTTGTAAAGTTTTCCCAAGTTCCATATCCAATGAGTTGATAATCCAATTGCCGATTGGGGTGTACACCATCTACAAACTTATCATCATCATTACGTAACATTCCACATAAACAGAGTACAAGTGCTAGAACAGTGGCAAAGCCTAATCCAACAAAGAAGACTTGTAAATATTTTTTTATAGTCATAGCAATTCTATTATCTACGGCTTCCTGAAGTGCACGTAAACGTTCTCTCTGTCCTCGGAATGCCAATAAAAGACGTTGACGAAGTACATAATGACGTCTAAGTTCCCCCATTTGTTCTGTTGCTAGTGCTAGTGCTGTTTGTGAAGCTGATGGAAGTGCAAGAGATTCTGCAGAAGGAGATGCCTCTGCACTTGAATGAAATACTACACCTTCATTACGTTCAGTCGTATTATTATTAGCGTTTCTTTCTTCTTTTTCTTTTTCTTCTTTTCTTGCTGTTGTTGCTGTTGTTATTGATCCCCGCGCTTTACCCATATTAGAAGAAGAAACCCTTGTATGTGGTCCTTCTTGTATAGAGGTTGTGGATACATTTCTTTTTGGATCTTTTTCTAGAGGGTCTGACACCTCCTCAAGAAGTTGATTTAAAAATGAATCCCAATCGGCGGCATCAACTCCTTCCATGTGGACTTGTGGAACAACAGGAGGAAATAGAGTGGACCGACGTCTGTCTTTACCCTCTTGTTCAATTCGACGATGAGTAAATTGATTGGTTTTTTCCAGTTTTTCCTTTGCAGCATCACGACACTTCTCCCGTTTTTCTTCAAAAGCCGTTTTTTCCCTTGGTGAGAGTAGAGGATTCCATATAGGCAGTGTGAACTCTTCCACTTGCTGTTGCTGCTGTTGTTGTTCTTGTTGCTGCTGTTGCTCTTGTTGTTGTTGTTGCTCTTGTTGTTGTTGTTTTTCCTGATTCTTATTCTTCCTAGTTCTCCTTTTCGTTTTTTCCTGTTTCTTCTTCTCATCTGGATTCTGCCTATCCACATCCCTTCCTTCTCCCACTATTGGTAATCCCATCAGACAAAGAGGATCTGATGAAATCTCCTTATTGGTAGGAGAATTATTCTTGAGAAAACCAAAATTATAAGATTCATCTATAGCTGGACGATCACTTGAAGCCGCATTACCAAAAACACTACCCGCATCATTATTTGGATCATGAGATGCATCAGCTCCAGGTATAAGCATAGAATCATATCGCATACTACGAATATAGGGAAAGATCAGAGGTGCGAAATTGTTATCAATATAAGACGATGATTGACCAAATCGACGTGGAGCTACAAGAGTAGAATATTTTGTATTTTTACAATTCTGTAGTTGAGAAAAAACAGTACGTTCTCCTTGTGAAGAGAATTCAGAAACATGATATTCGTTATTCTTCGCACAAAACCATGGAATGGCACACCCTGGTACATTGTAAGCCTGCAATTGAGTTTCAGAAGGTTCCAACCAAAATGGTTTTTCTTCTTTACTTGTAGATAGACACAACTTCTGCCGCCGCTCAAGCACATCCTCATACCGTAAGAGTACAGTTCCCAAGAGAACTTCTTGCCATCGTCGAAGCCACTTGACAATTCCTGTTTCCTCTTCATTATCAGTAGAAGCTACATTTTGCTCATTATGAATAGAAGTTGTTTCCTGACCTTCTTGTTCTTCTTGTCTATCTTCTTCTCTTTCTTCTTGTTGTGGTGACTGTTGTTGTTGTTGTTGTTGTTCTTCTTCTTCTTCTTCTGACGTTTTCGGTTCCGCCCGGTTTCGGTTTCCAGGGCTATCTTTTCGCTCTGTCAAACTCATTGCTTCTGCAGTCATAGGGCCTGAATGAGATCCATATTCACTCTTGAATCTCCGTAATGTAGCCATAGAGGCAACCAAGGAAAAGAAATTGCGAAAGCCCATATCCGAAAGTTCCTTTTCTTCCTCTCCATTCTGATCGGGTTTCTGTTGATCTCCCTCACCTTGTTGACCATTCATTCCCTTACTCAACAATACGGGTACATCTTTGTATTCGTAAAAGTACCCAGATGGTGTAAAGAAACGTTTATCATTAAAGTAATCATCTTCAACTTTCCCAGGTTCAAGTGTTTCATCCCTTGTATGTTGTTGAGGTACTGGATAGGATGGAGTGCTTAGAATCATCGTATCTTCACGACCATCTACATGTGCACACATATCCAGTGGCTCTCGCTCTGTTGTCGGCTCTGATGGAGACATTTCAAGTTGTCTGTGATCCCAACCTTCTAGTGAGGGATCGGAGCCCACAGACATGGAATACCCAGCATTACGTAATCTCTGCCGTCGTTCAGGTCCTTTAGTTCGTTTTCTCACAAGTTCCTCTTGTTGTTGTTGTTGTTGTTGTTGTTGTTGTTGTTGTTGTTGTTGTGATGGTGGTGTTTCTGTGAAAGATGTATTAGTTCCCTGTATTCTTGGATTAGATATTGCGGGAGCAGCAGCAACAGCAGCAACAGCAGCGGTGGAGTTTTCACCTTCTTTCTTCTCACCTTCTTTCTTCTCCTCAGCTTCTCTTTGTTCTCGACTATGAACACACGGCAGTTCTTCATCTATTTCTTGAGCAACAATGGCTACCACATCAGGTGTCTGATCTTGTTTCTTCACAATAACAAATCCACGTAATAAACGTCGCTGCAGTCGTTCCGCACGTTCACGATCTTCACTAAATGTGTAAATAAATCCGGAAATGAGTGCTATAATCGGAGCTAGAAACACAAATACCGCTATTACTATCTCAACACCAAGAGGAACAATGTGTCTTTTCTGTGACCCTATTATCATACCTAAAATGGCTACAATAGCTAACATAAGTTGTGTAGATGCACTGTAGGCATTCTCTACAGGCCGTGCATATGGACGGAGTATACAGGTATATAAAAGATATAATACACAAACCACAAAGAATAAAATAATACCAGTCAAAGAGATATCTTTACCAGGTCCACGACGTGTAAGACTTGTAATAGTGACAAGCAAAACCCTTTGAAGTAAAAAGGTTAGACGTGCCTTACGATAACGTCTTTTGTAGACTTTGTAAATAGATGCGGCAACATTATCAGATTTTCTTACTTTTTCATAGTATAATTCTTTTTCAGTAAATTCATCACAGACACGTTTTTCTAATGGATATTCATTTTCCAAAATTTTCGTCCCCCGATCAGCGGCCAAAACAAGAAGAATAGGATATGAAACAGTATAGGCAAGAAAAATAACTGCTACCGTAGTTTTGTAATAAGGATCTATATAAACACAAGGCACAGTTTGATCATAGGCAAGACGTGATTCATTTACTGCTGTACCGCACAATTCCATCTGTAGTGACAATGGACAATGTTGTTCATGCATAGAGAAATCACAAGGTTCACACATATTAACAGGAGGATCTAAGAAACTTGTTTGATCACCTGTGAAAGCCAAAGAACCAGGAACAGACATTCGTTCCCCCACTCCACAGCCTACAGTTGTACACCATAAGATACTAATACAACTTAATAGCACAGGACTGTAAATAAGAGATATGATAATTAACATGATGTGGAGAACTGCTCCTGAGAAGAGATCATACATTTTTAACTGCCATGATCTACCCATTTTAAATAAACTTAATGTAATCCATACAAATGCAAGGACGGCTGCAAGAACAAGAACAGCACCAGGAATACGTCCAAATAGACTTATCTGCAAAAAACGAATTGTTTTCACTGGTATGGATCCAGAAAGAATAAAACCAGCAAAAAGAGCTGCTAAAGCCAATACAATGTGAGGTACAATAATTCCAAAACGACGATGACGTAAATATCTCTCCTTTTCATTTTCAACGGCATCTAATGCGGCTAATGCACGACGATTGGTGACCGATCGGGTCACGGCCTTTTCAGCAAGAGAAACATTCTTTTCTCGTGCTTCTATTTCACTAGAGGAACGAGCTAAAAAAGCATCTTCTCTCTTACGACGTTCCTTTTTCCACAAGTAAAGAGAAAATATCCCAAGAGCTATAAGAAGTATCGTAAAAACAGTTCCAAGACTCACAAGCAAAACTCGTGTACTGATGGGTATTCCATCTAATCTATATACCCATCGATCTGCTAATAGAATAGAGCCAAATAACATTGAAAAGAAGGCACTTAATGTGACGATTAACCAACCAAAAGCTAAGGTGGGGCAAACAGTAAGAACCCCTACAATAGAAACTAAAAGAGGTGCAAGTACACCAATGAGGGCAAATCGTAAACGGGCATCTAATGGTATCCACGTCGGCAGCGTTATCTCCAGTGGATTACTATATCGATTGGATTCACCTATGGATTCAACAAAGTCGAGAGTAATAAAGGTTAAACTACGGAATGGCTCTGCATAAAAGTCAGGAAAGCTTTCCGGTGAAATAGAGATGAGGAAATAAAGATACTGTACATAGGCTACTGTCATATCAAAGAGATCAAAGAAGGCCATGGTTAAATTTTTTTGTTTCTATTTCTTTTTTTTTTTTCGTTCTTATTTTATTTATTTTCCACAATAAGAACTAAATATCAACTTTACTTGCTTTGAGAGTATTTTTTTCTTTTTTCTTTTTGTTGCTGTTCCACCAACCCAAAATCCCTTCTTTTCTTTTTTTCCCCCTTTATCTCCCTAACTAGATATCTATATAAATAAATATATTCCAGTTATATTTGTGGAGAAAAGTATTCCTATTTTTTTGTCCTTTGTCTTTTTTTTTTTTTTATCCTTCTTTTTTCTCTCGCCAGACCCTACCACTGCGGTGCTCTTATTGAAAAGTGCAAAGCAGTTCAACTACACCCTTTTTCCAAACCCCAAGGTAATCAACACCAAAAAAAAGAAAGAAAGAAAAAAAAAAAATAGGAACCATAAATAATGAGTGAGTGAGTGAATGAGTAGAATAAAGAAAATAAATTGACAGAAACAAACACATATATAAATTTCTGTACAGATGTACATACACAATTTGATAAAGTATATATATATATATACTTGTAAACGTTCGCATAAGAACATGTAATAACAGGGAGAAGGAGAGAGAGAGAGAAAGAGGGGGAATATAGAGAAAAAGAAGAAAAACAATGAAAAAAAAAAAACATCTTTCTCATTATCCTTTTTTTCCCTAAGAAGAGAATATTTTCTCCCTAAGTGGCGTTTTACCCCTCTATCTCTTTTCTTTTCTTTTTTTTTTTCCCCTTTTCCCAGAGAAGTGTACGTAAGCAAATTCATGTGCTAATACCTTTTTTTCTTTTTTTTTTCTTTCTTGTTTTTCTTTCCTTCGTTTCCTCAGATATTGCCTCACCTTACACACTACTTACCACCATTTCCTCTTACACATTCAACCATTTTTTTTTTCGTTTCTTTTTCTTTTATTAATTTATTTATTTCTGTGCTTTCTGCTGCCTTTTACGTTTCTCTTTTTTATTTTTTTCTTCTCCTTATCAGTTGCTCCTTCCTCACATGGATGATGGGAACTCCCGCTGTTAATAATGCCTGTAGAGAAATACGCTACCCCACCCCACCCCTGGTGGTAATAATAAGTGGGTTACTCCAGTCAAAGTAAAAAAAAGAAATATATATATATATATATGGAAAAGAGAGCAATAGTTATATTGGTAAAATGGTTTAAGAAGAAAGAATGAAAACCCAATGAGGACACACACACACACACATACATACATACACGAGCTTATACGTACAGGTACAACATTTTTACAAGAAAAGAAAAGAGAAAAAAAAAAAAGCAAAAGAATCCATGGGATTAATCGGTAATTACACAGAGTTTATTCTTTTCTTTTCGTCCTCCTCCTTCTTCTTCTTTTTTCCTTTTTTTTTTAAGTTTATAGAAATACCTTCACTTATAATCTTTCTTTTTTAGTGTTTTTATCTCGCAATCCCTATTATTATTTTTTATTTTATCTGTTTGTTCCACATCACATCACTTCATATAAGAAACATACATACTGGTGTCCATTGCAGAACACTTCAGTCTCATGTTTCTTTTCTCACCATCTTTTGATTTTATTATTCGTCACATTTTTAGTTTTTTTTCTCTCGTTCTCATTCTTTCTTTCTTTCTTTTTCCTCTTTTGCATTTTACACACACATATATATATATATATATATATATAAATCCGTTTTTTATTTTTATTCATTCCTCTTTCCTTTCCTATCCTTTTTTTTTTAAACTGTCTCTCTCTCTCTCTCTCTCTTTCTTTCTCTTTCTCTTTTCATCATTAGATAAAATAAAAATAACAAAAAAAAAAGAAGATTTTTTTTTCTCCAATCTGCTGAAGTCTCTCTACTTTGGCGCACTCTCCACGGCGCGCTGCAGTCCAAGCACGGCACTCACCAAACCAGCAATCGCCCCAAACGGGTGTAAAATCTCCTCCAGCGAGGCATCATTCTTCCCAGTCTCATACCCACCAAAACAATACTGAAAGGCAAGAAAGACTTCCGCCATGTAACGCACCTGCAGAAGAATTGTCGCCGTCCAGTTGGAATGGGCACGCAGCAGCCAAATGTAATTAAATAATTTCCGCATTAACCAAGGAATGAAAAGAATAGCCACCTCCGCCGTCTCACCAATGGTGTTTGCCTTCTCTTTATTTCCGAAACTACCCATATCTCGGAATGGACTAGAGATATTATGATTGCCATTTGTTTTTCCACTTCGTCGAGATGATGTGTGTTTGTATGAATATTGTCGTTTATGCTGTCGACGCTGTTCAAGTTGATGTTGATGATGTTCCTCTTCTTCTCCATCTTGACTTGAGGATAAACCCTCCCCTTCGCCTGCGTGAGTTTCCACAAACAAACAACCACAAATTCGACAAGATGGGGTTATATGCACAGGATCTGCCGCCTCAAAGTAGGCGGGTGAGGAACAAATAGGTGCGCCAAAGTCAAGATCCACAGGAGGAAAGACAAGATTCGTCTTTCGTTGGGCCACTAAACCACGATAACGAATCATTGTATCTTCTTCACTATCATTATTAGTATTGCAATTACAATGATAGGCGGGACTATGACGGGCTGTTGCATATTTATACCAACCTTCATCTACTAATCGGATGGTGTTAAGGATTAAATCAATAACGGAAACGGCTAACCAAAGCCAATTGGAACGACGTTGAAGGACAGGACGATTCTTTTCCACATAAAGAAGATCTAAGAATTGCTTTGATGATAGTAATAAGATATCACGTAATACTCGTCTACCTATAGTGGCAACACTGCGTACACTTAAAAGTAACATGAGAGGTGTACTAAATTGAAGAACACGTTTTCTCCAATGATCTGGATATCCCATTTCTGCTGGTAAACTTTGCATATTTCCATTAACTAAACCTTCTTTTTCCTTGAGTACATCATCGCTACTTGAGGAGTAATTAATATCACTACCATTATACCTGCTATTAGGGAATTCAAAATCTTCATCTTCCATATTAATAGGGGAAGCTGCACTACGAACGGCATGCATTTTATTTCCAGTGTGATTATTACCAGAATTTCGGGGAGCTGGTAAAGCATCTCCTAAACGAGGTTCATATGGTAAAGTTTGATAGGATGAAAGATAACCAGGAAAAGATGAAGCATTCGTTTCCAATGGATGACATAAACCACTATCATTTCTACCTTCCATCTTCATCATTGGTTTCATAGAAGGAGTACCATCTATATGTATAGTTTTGTTATCATTACTATTGTTTACATGATCCTCCTCATCCATGTTAGTGGCACGTAAAGGTTGAAGAAGTGTTTTAGAAGGAAGTAATGATTCTCGTGCGGCACGATTTCGTCCACCATCCATAAGAAAAGATGCAGGTAAAGTAGATTGAATAGATGGTGGAGATGATAAGGTATCATGTGCGGCATAGTCTGGTATATCTGTACACGGATGCGTAGGTGAACTCTCATGATGTTCATTATCTACTCCTTCCTTCTCATCATTTAAAGGTTGTTGTAATTGTTTATGAGTTATTTCTTGAAAATCATTATTATTATTCATAATCCTTTCCTTCAAGTAGAAACGACGTGCCGCATCTGGTTCTATCGCATTATTTTCATTTTCATTTCTCTTAACATTATCTCGTCCTCCTATAGACATTGGGCAAGGAATCGTGGGATAACCCCATGGGTGTTCCACACGGGCTATACATGAAAACATATCATCAGTTACCAAAGAATCTATATTACTAGATTCTTTATCATCAAAACTATTTCGACTACTAGATATGGGTTTCTTTTTCTTTCCATACTCTAGTAAAGAACCTGTACCAGGAAAAAATGGAAAACGAGCAAGGAATGCTCGAACTTTATTTAAAAACCCTCGTACCTGATTACCATGTTTTAAAGAAAGTCGATCATAGATTTCCTCAAGAAAGAATAAATTTAATAACCAACGACCTACTTTAAATAATCCACGACCATGTCGAATAGTATTGCTATTACGTAAAAAACGTTCAGCCCAATAATCCGCTAGACCTTGTGACTCTGGTGAGAAAAGTCCTGGTCGTTTAAGAAAACATATCATTACTTGTAATCCATACTGAAGACATTTAAATAACTTATCTCGTCCTTCAGATGCTGTTAGTACATATAGAATAGTACTACGAGGAAGATCATTTGGAATTAACGCACCAATAGCATCATCATCCCCATCATCATAAAAGTATCCTTCCACCCGCACCTGCGTTCTTCCCAAATTATCACGTGCACGCAGTGATTCCGATTCCCCCTCTGCTTCTATCTCTTCACTACCTCCCATCTTTCCTGGATAAATAACTGTCATGAAGGGATCCACCGGGGATGAATGAGCGCCTGGAGTGGATAAGAGTACACTCACAACCGGATCGCTAATGGACTCTGCGCTGTTGCGAAATGCAATTTCAGGGACTTCTGTTGGGCGGCGGCTTAACTGCGGAGATGTGGTGGACCGCGCCCGTGGAGTGGGAAACCGGCGGGCTCGAAGTGTGGGAGGCTCAGTGGGACTTTTCTGCGATGCCCCTTTCGCCTGAGTAGTTCCATTGTTTAACTGTTGATCCATCGCGATGTAATAGTAATAATAATTACTCTTTTTTTGTTGTTGTTGTTGTTCTTTTTTTTTTTCTTTGTTTGTGTATTTAGTTTTCGGTTAGTTGTTATTATACGATTCAAACGCAACGTTCAACCAGTGTGTACGCACACCACTCTCCCTCTCCTTCTCAATATCTCTCTATCTTATCTCCCTTCGTCTTTTGTGTTTATTTAGTTTTTTTATTGCTGTTGTTGGACTTATCTCTTTTGGTAACTAAAGCCCGAATAAATAAATATATATATATAGCGAATCTGGCCCCTGCTGCTAGTGGTACCACGAATACCGTAGTGTTTCTGTAAATAAATAAATAAATAAATATAAATATATAAATAGATGTTCCTATGAGTTCACGTTCTGAACTCCCTTTGCGGCGTATATAGGGTGTGCTTGTTTGTTCGCGGTTGTGTGAGAACGCAAAAGCAAAGGAATAATAATAATAAAAAAAAAAGCAAATGAAAAAAGAAAAGAAAAGAACGGAAGACCAAGCAAAAAGAGAAAAAAAGTCTTCTCCTTGTGAGCCACTATGTATATCTTCCTGTATAAAAAGCAAAAAAAAAAAAAAGAGAGAGAATAAAAAAAAAAAAAAAAAAAAAAAGGAAGGAAACTGGAGAAACGTAAAAGACGAAAAAGAGAGAGAATAAAAAAAAAAAATAAAATAAAGAGCAATAATAAGTGATCAAGAGACAGAGGACCACAAAATGAAAAGAAAGAAGAAAGAAAAAAAAAAGAGTACACATATCTCTGGAACTTCTTATGCGTTTTTTTTTCTTTTTCTTTTTGTGACTCATTCTCAGTTTCTGTCTTTTTAAAACTATTCTTTCCATTTCTGCGTATGTGCGATTGGATCTCTTTTTCTTTTTTTTTTTTTACTTTTCTTTCTTTTTTCTTTCAATCACCTTTCCGTTAGTTTTGCTTTTTTTTTTTCTTCTGTTTAAATACTAAATGCAGATATTGTACTCTCATTACACACACGCACACGTACCCAAGCACGACAGAAACAAAAAGTTAAACAGAGAGAAAAAAGAAAGAAAAAGAATAAAAGAGAGAGAAAGCGAGAGAAAGATAAATAGATAGATAGAGAGAGAGAGATAATCATCTACACATACTCAACAGCCACTAATAATAAGCATAAACAAAAAAAAAAAAAACAATGGTACTAGTAGCAACAAGCAGTCCAGAGTAGTTTATCCATACATGCACACACACACACACACAGAGAGACGTGTGCACAAGACAGTGAGTCTGCAGAGTTGATTAGAGTCATTGGTGTAGCGATGTCACTCTCTCTCTCTCTCTCTCTTTTTGTTTTATTTCTCACTTTCTCTATTCTCTCCCAATCTCTCTGTTTGGGTGCATGAACGCATTTAAGCATTATGTGAGTGAGTGAGTAAGCGAAATCCAAGACAAAAAAAAAAACAAGAAAGAAAGAAAGAAAGGAGATACTCCCTGTATAATAATTATACCTAATACAAATCTCTTCCTTACACATTCCTTCCTCTTCCTCTTCCTCTTTCTTTTTCTTTCTCTTCTCTTTGTTTACGCTACCGAGGCCACATACTCCGTTGCCGTTGCTGCGGCCACCCGCTTCTGCTGCGGTGCACTTCCCGGCTCATACGCGGGGAACTTCACCTCCCGCTGCTGTTCGTCCTCGACGCCGGCGTAGTGCATCCACAGCAGCCCGAACCGCTCGGGGTCCTGCATGTCCATCGCCATGTTGAAGACGAAGAAGAGGGCCATCGGCGCCGCAAAGTCGAGATAGGCGGCGCCAACGTGGGAGACGTACGACTTGAGGAAACGCCAAGGGGCGGCCCAGCGGCTCTCGTTCCTGGCAGCACCGCTATCAATCATCATCGTATTAGAAAGAAGAAGAAATAATATTAATATTAATAATAATAGTAATAGTAATAGTAGTAGGAGTGAACGGCGGCTAATGGGGATTGGAGTGGGGATAGTGTGGTTTTGTTGTTGGTTGGGTGTGAACCCTAATACCTCTTTTATTTATTTGAAAAAAAAAAGGAATAAAACAGAAAATAAGAATAACACAACCATTTTGGAGAAGAGTAAAAACAAAAGCAAAAGAAAAAAAATATGAATGAATACATAAAACAAAATTGAAACACACAAGAGCAAAGAAACAAACACAAACACACAAAGAGAGAGAAAAAGAGAGAGAAACAGAACGGGGAGAAAAAAAGAAAAAGAACAGAGACAATAAGAAGCATAAAAGAAGAATCCACTCAAACAAGGATTTTTTTCTTTATTTTGTAAGAAGAAGACCACGTCTCCTTTCAATAGACGTATGCATTCATGAGAGATTACAAGCATCCCCTTTTTTCTTTTTTTTTAAAGGTGGGAGTTCCCTCTTTTCTTCTCCCTCCATAAATTGAGTACTTCGCATTGAACTGTTATTATCAGTTGTTCTTTCTTTTTTTCCCCTTTTTTTCCTTCTCTCTTCTTCTTCCTCTTCTTCTTTGCGGTATCATTCAATTCTTTTCTTTGTTTTACTTCTTCTTCCTTCACGACTCTTTTTTTTTTTTATCTTTTTCTTTTTTTTCCTCTTCCATTTCTTCCGTGGTGTTTCCCATCTCAGTCCTCCGGGTTGTAGTTCTCACGCACGACGCGGTGAATCTGTGATGGGGTGTACTCCGATTCGTTGGTTGCGTAAAGTGTGATGAGTTCTGGTGGGACGTATTCCGTTACGGGTGAGTGTACAGTAAAGGCACTGACATTATCCACATTTACACCATATGGAGTGGAGAGTACATCCCCAGGGGATCCGTATGTATTCCATGGAATCTCCTGTGCACTAGAACGTGAAATCTTTACTAGACTTGTACAATAGGCATCTCGTGGGTAATAAGGAGACATCTTCAGTGTGATGGTCGCAACAAGCACAGGAACAGCAAAGTGCTTAGCGGCAATACAAAGCGGATGAGTCCCAATAGGTGCGAGAAGTCCACCATTTGCAAGTACACTCTCTACGCCAATGAGTGCCTTTGTGCAGGTTCCCATCACCGCAAAGGCGGAACTATCCGGGAGTACCTGCACAAAGGTATGATTGGCGAGTTCTGCAGCGAGTTGTTGAGCCCCATTTCCAGAATGAGGGCCAGTTTCAAGTATAATCACTTTAAACGCCACTCCACTTTTAAGAGCGTGAAGAAGATAATGACGTGTGGTGTTGCTACTACCCAATGTAATTACAGTATCGGTGGCGTGTAATTGTTTAGGGGCGCGACTGCAGAGTTCCTCACACATGCCTTCAATCTCCGCACGGAATGCTTGAATGCGTTCCAGTACACTTTCGAGAAAGTCTCCGAGGCGAACAGGGAATTGTGTTTCACTCTCTACATCCTCCGCCTCACGTTGATCCGGTGCCCGGCGTAGTGTTTGTTTACCGGGAATTCCAATTGCCATGATAGTATCATGCGGTTCGTGTTCATCATCATTCGCACAACTGTGTGTGTGATCTATTATTTTATCAAGTTCCGCACTACTTAACGTGAAACGCTGTGAAAGACCTTTACGGGAAACAAGTGGACGTTGCAGTCGCTCCTCACTTCCCAATAAACTCTGTGGTGAACTCATTCTACCTTCACAACGACTACATGATCGACGTTGTAGTTGAAACTCATCCTCATCACTCTCACTTCTACCTAATTCATTCAGGTGTTGTTCTGCAAGCGCCTCTAACTCGGAGACACTCGCCGTATTTTCTGTGGCCGCACTTCGAATAAACGATAACACACGTCGGGTAACATTTGTGAGTAGTAAAGTGCCAAACTGAGCACGCAAGACCGCCTCTCCTGCAAATGAGATGAGCCACAACAGTCGTTTCACTTGTGTTGTCGCCACAACATCCGCAGGATAGTTTTCCTGTAGCATTTGATTACCAATACTATCCCGTCTTTCCTCATATTCCTTAAAGAGAGAGACAATGGTGTGCATTAACTGCACAGTCTCACACGCTGCGGTAGTGGAGAAACTCCGTCCATCGCGTACACCCAACTTACCACGTCGAACATTACTTACAAAGGCTTCAATATTATCTCCAATGGCACCCATAAGAGAATCTGGCTCCTCCTTAATCTCCGCCGTACGTAATCCAAGCGCCCTCTCTTTGTTCTTGTTCATCCTTGTAAATTTTATCCGTTTAAATTCTTTACAGCGAATGAAGAGAAAGTAAACAACAACAACAACAAAAAAAAAAAAAAAACGAGCGGCCAACCAAAAATGGTTATAACTATAGATATATATCTATATATATGTAGGCTTCCTTCACTCCTTCTTCTTCTTCGCTTTTTTTTTTTTTACTCTTTTGTTTACGTTTCTATGTTTGATTCTTATTGGTTCCGTTATTTTTTCTTTTTCGTTCTTTTATTTTTGTTATCACCCGCTTTTCCCCCTTCTTTAATGTTTGTGTACACTCTTATATTATGTATTTCTTCCTATTAATGCAGATGAAAGTAAAGAAATAAAAGAAAAAGAGAATCATAACAGAGTACTGTAAAGTTCAGAAAGGTTCATTACAAAACAAAAAAAAAGATTAATTTAACACCTGAAATACAACCAAAAAAAGCAACTACGAAAAACAATATAGAGAGATACGGTAATTGTAATAAACATAAATAAGAGGAGAAAATAAAAAAATTGGTGCCTATTTCTCTTACCTTAGTTTCTCTCCCTTTTCTTCTCTCAAATGTCCAGTAGAGAACAGAGCACTTTTTTTTTTATTTTTCTTTTTCTCACGTCTTTTTTCTTGTCTCATCTATACAACAAGAATAAGAATAATAAAGTTTTCCCTTTCTCTCTCTCTCTCTCTCTCTCTCTCTCTCTCGTTCTCTAAATAAAAACAGCAGCAAAAATATCATGAAAAGTAGATGCCAAAAAAACAGTTGATCTCCACTATGCCAACACACACACGCACACGCACAGAAAGAGAGAAAATAGAGAAAAGAGAAAAAAGAGAGAACAAAAAAAAACAATGGCAGAAATCTACAGAGACGTAGATGTAGTCATCAGTAAATCACTACCACCATCAATACTACGTTTTATTCTCTTCTACGCAAAAAAAAAAAAAACAAAAACAACAGAGTCTCTTTCTCCTCCTTTTTTTTCTCTGTTCGGCACTTTAAAAAAGGCGTATCATTAAACTCTTTTCTGCTTCTATGCTATTCACATATATTCTAATCACTTCCCAGTTTCTTCTTCCTCTTTCTTCTAAAAAAAAAAAAAACAATGGACACTAACGCTGTCGCTCCTCCCGCTGTCTTCGTCTAACTTCCCGCCGCACCACTACAGCGGCTAATCGTTTAATCTGTTCCCGGCCGAGTGGCTCATCAAGATCCAACAGCGCGATGGCCCGACCTCCGCTCTTCGCGGCTTCCTCCTCGTGCGATGGACTCGAGGAGACGGAGAGACTCCGCTCGGTGGATTCCCCGCTGGGCACGATGCCGTAACTGCCGTGGCTGCTGCTGCTGCTGCTGCTGCTGCTTCGCCGCCCACTGCTGATCCTGCCGCCATCGGCGTCTAATATATCCCCAGCGGCTGTTAACATATCGGGACTGGGCGGCAACACGGCACTTGTGGAAGTCGCGTGGGCGTGTGGCGTTAAATGCACACGTGTGTTGCTGGCGGGCACAGTGACCATTGCCGGCACAACCTCTGTCTCGTCCGTGTCATGTCCCACAGTCTCATCTGCCAATGAAAATAGTTTCTCCCGTAGTAGTTGTAAATGTGTGACGAGATTGTTTGGTTGGGTGGGTGGGAAATGCACCTCTGGGTGATAAACCACAAGTGCCGCCGCCAATACATCCACGCGTCGCATCACCTCCGCCAGTAATTGCTGCAATTGGGCACTTGTTCCCATCGCCTCATCACGTTTACGTTCGGCATCTTCAATAGAAAGTAACAATTCATCCCGTAATGCTGGTGTAATAGGTGCGAGTCCAAGACCACAGTGTCGGCGTTGCTGTACTCCATTCTTTAATTCCTGTACTTCCGCACGTAACTTTTCATAATGGATCTTATCCACTCGTATTTGTTCCTGCAATTGCAATCGAGTGGCGTATTCCAATTCATACTTTGTAGTGAGTTCATCCAATGAACTGGATTCTGTTGCTTGCATCATATTACGGAATGCCACTTCATATGCACGTACACGTTCTTCATTTTCCGGTGAATCCCCGAGGGAATTAAAACTGTTATCCATTCCCCCATTCTCCTGTTGTTCCATAGAGAGAGCAATACGCTCCATCACACTAACAGAACGTTGTCGACGCTGCCGGACTGCATGCCGTTCTGTCTGTACTTCATCCATTCGTTGTTGTTCATATTCAATCTCATGTTGTAAATCCACCTCCCGCTGTTCCAGTCGTTGTGTTTCCCTAAGGAGTTGCTCTACATGTTCACGACGCTCTGCAAGGGCTTTGTCTTTTAAAGATCGAGATTTAAGAAATGATTCTGTAAATTTATGCAATTGATCTCGAACATACTGATAATCTGAATTTGCATTTTTATACATCACTACAAGTCTTCCGTAATCTTTGTGTCTGGCGTTAAGGTCCGCCTCCATTGCAAAGACACGTGCTTCTCGACTAATACCTTCCGCACGCAACTGTTCCAACATTTCTTCATAATTCTTCTTTATACACAAAACACACTGCTGCTCTGAGAGGGTGGTGTCCAGTTGTTTCTCAAGTTTTTGAATCCGTAAAGCTACACTTTGACTTCCACTAATCGCTTCTCGCAATGGGGATTGAAGTTGTTCCTCATGCTCCCTACTGAGTTTGTGCTCATTCTCTTCCTTACGAATATCTTCTTCCATCTTTTCAATTTGATGGACCATTCTATTGAGCCGCCGTACAGCCACAAATCGCCGCTGCTCGAGATGTTCCATTTCCGTCTCGGTGACATCACCACCACCGGCCCGAATGGTGCGGAGATGTGTGTTCTCATCATGCATTTGTCGAATAGCCCGGCGATTGGCGGCGAGTTTGCGTTGATACTCCAATTCCAACTTCGCATGTTGGGCGGCGAGTTCCTTCAGGCGTTGTGTGTAATAAGCCACATCATCCTGCGGGGCCTCCTGCACGACTGCCCGCTTTACACGTGCACTGCTAGCGCGAGTGGTTAGTTTTGCCTTTCCTTCCGGGCGAACACTAGGGGAGGCACTGTGGCGACGCTGCATGTATATAAATATATATATATATATATATATATATTTACTGGGGGATAATGGGAAAGTTAAAGGGAGATAATGTCTCTATCCTTTTAGTGTGTGTCTTTCTCTGTGTATAAGTATGGAGTTTTCTTCTCTTTTTTCTTTTCTACTCCTGTGTGTTTGTTTGTTTAACTTCTAAATTTTCTCTTATCTGCGGGTTGTGGTGTATCTTCCCTTCTGTGTGTTCACCCCCTTTTTTCCCTCTCACCCCTTCTGCAAGGCGTGGAACTATTTTATAACTACAGGAAATCAAAGTAAAAAAAAGAAAAAAGAAAAAAAAAATTGAAAGAAGAGAGAGAGAGAGAGAGTTCAATAAAGATGAATATAAGTATATATATATATATATATATATATATAGAGAGAGAGAGAGAGAGAGAGAGAGAGCGACAGAAACAAATTTTTCAGCTTCATATATGTATGTATATAAAAATAATTTTTTTTCTCTTCCAAAAAATGAATAAATAAATAAATAAAATAAAATAAAAAGAAAGGTGTAAAAAAAAAAGTCAATCCACATCAATTGTACACGTAGGAAAACGTGCCTTTGCAATAGCAATCTCTTCATCCGTGATGCTTTCATTCCTTCCACGCCAAAAGGTGAGAAAACACGGTGGAATATTATTATCAACGGTAAATAAACAACTTGCCTCCTGTAATAACTCATCCATTGCTTGCCAAAGAAAAGTATACTTTTCACTATTATTATTATTATTATTATTATTATTATTACTATGATGCTCTTCACCAAAGACAGCACTGTAGCGTACAGCAAAAGTAATACATGATGGACGGGAATGCCATTTCTCTTCACGGGCCGCAAGTGATTGTAGAAAAACTCGCATATTGTGTATATCCCTCACATCATACATGTGAAACCCATCGGGAAGTACCCACCCGAAGGAAAGACCAAATCCAAATTGATCAACAATTGTATAAATCATATGATGAAGTTTAACAGAAGGAAGTGAAAGAAACGATACTTCAGAGTTATTACTATTATTATTATTACTATTACTACTTGTTGGTGGAGTGACTGCCATCACAACATCGGCATTCCACCAGAATGAAAAACATTTACGCAACGTTTTATACCATTCTAGTGATTTTGAAAACAATTGATACGATAATTCCGCCGCTGCAGGATCTTTAAAATCAAACTTTACTACGCCTATTCGTCTCTCTTGTGTAGATACGATTCCCGCAAGGGTTTCCAGCCACTCGGTGAGTTTCACAACGGAATCCATATCCACAGAAATGGGATCATGACGCAGTATAGGAATAAGACTATTGGGAAGTACACGTACATCTACTTCAATACCCAACAACTTTTCTTCTTTTTCTTGTTCTTCTTTTTCTTCTTCTTGTTGTTGTGTTTGAGTGTAAGGTGTCATCATACGAGTCTTTACTGTTTGTAGGGCGGCAATGGAATTCGCAGCATGCAGCCATTCGTCTGGCGTTTCTCTGTTTTTCACAGCAGAAACATCAGACATAATAATATTTGAAAAACTATATATATATATATATAT